TTTTACTGTATGCACAGGCCAGCTTAGATATCTCCTTCTTCACTCCAATGGCAAGTCCAGGAACCGGTGGGATGAATGCAGCTACAACTGCAGCAGCACCGGGATCTTTGTTGAAGTTTTTTGATGATCATCTTCTGGAATGACTCTTCCAGAGGATGTTGCTGTTGGAAGTTCTTCTTCATATCGTATCTTAATTCGTTTCTGGGTAGCCAAATTAGGCTTTGATCCTCTGTATAAACACAAACAGACCCTTTGCCCACACTTTGATATGACCTTTATACCGAACAAACCTTCACTTTTAAGGTGTTTTAATATTCTGCTAAGTCCTGAGGTGTAGACCCTGACTTGGAACAGGTGACCAAAGAGGCCTTGGCTGTCCTGAGCTACAGACCTTTGCTCACGGGTGACAAATAGCTTAGGAGTATAGCTCCCGCTTTTGCTCTAGAGTTCTCAGTTTAAACTTCCATCAAGGTCCTGGGCTCCAGATGTTCTGAGCTTAACAGTTTTAAATGCTGAGTGAAGAGGAGACTGACCTGTGCTGCACAGAACAGTAACAGTCTGAGAAAATCTTCGCAGAGGTTCCCAGAGCATGTGCCATCTCAAGGTCTCAGGCCTTTCTGGTCAGCACTTAAATCACTGAAGATTTGGGTCTTCAATACATAACTGTTTCAGAAGTGTGAGCCTGTTTCAGAGGTTTGGAAGTTTTAACTCCACAAGGAAAGAATGAAAACTTTGAATTTGGATGGCTTCTGCAGTGCGCCACGTTTCTCCGAGACACAGATCTGTTGCCACCGGACAGCGCGTCACGTATGGGGAGCAGACGGACCCAGGCAGTGTGTGTGCCCAGGAAGGCTGAGGAGATGCGACCCGGCTCAGGGGCCATGCAGCGTCCCTGACGGGGCTGGGCCTGGGTGGGTGGCGGTGGGAAGAGGTCGAAGAAGACTTCCTTGTATTGCTGTGTGCATTTTTCTAAGGTGTTTACTTCACAGAGAATGTGCTCATGAGCTTCTGTAATCTGGAGAAGTCAGTCCCTTTCACACCATCTTCCTGTGTGGGCTGCTCTTCTGCTTGAGGGAGAAGCAACTGATCAGTTGCCTGCCATCTTTTTTCCATTCCATGAGCACTTCACATTTTCCTGAAGGTTCCTTGAGGTAAGGGGCATATGTCTTATACACATAAGCCGTTCCTAGATGGGTTCGGATCTGAACACTCTGCAGCTCCCTGGCCTGAGCAAGGACTCAGATGGTGAGGCCCTGTGTTCTCGCCTAGGCCGGGCGCAGCCCCTCTGCCAGGTGGAGGTGGTGTTACTCGTGTGCCATGGACAAAGTTGAACAGATGCCCTGTGGAGCAGTCTGACGTGGGGGCCCCCACGTGCTTTAGGAGAACTTCCCCTCAGGTTGTGGTGGGCCAGCAGGTCTCTGCTGCCAGATGCTGGTGTCCTGGGCTCACAGCCAGAGGCTCCGAGAGTTGGAAACAGCTCTGAACTCGTTCACAGGAGCAGCGCGTGGGCCCGCCCGGGGCCCGGTGTGTGCCGGCTTCCGCCTGCTCAGGCACAGCTCAGGTTTCCTCCTCAGAGGTATTCAGGTTCCTGAGCAGAACTTCACCTGACGCTCCTCCGAGAAGGCTCTCTTGTGATAGAAACGGGAGCGGTAAGAGCAAAAGGCGTTTGTCCCCAGGTATAAACCAACTCAAGAGAGGGCTGTGCTCCTCGAGCCCGCGCTGTGGCGGCATGAGGCGTCTCCCTGCGCAGCTCTGCAGAAACGAGCCGGAGGGGCAGCACGGCTCTCCATGCCTCCTTGACGTCGGGCCTGAGCCCAGCAGGGAACCAGGACCTCTGACCCTCTTATTTAAATCTAACCAGAGCTGTTCTGTTTGAGGCAGAGTAAAGATTGCTGGAAGTACTAAATGTACTCACCTTTCACACTGGGGCCCAGTGTCTACAGATCTATATCTATATCTATATCTATATCTATATATATACATTTTTACACTTACCAGTTAATTAAAGAATATGATAAAGATACCCATTAGCAGCCCGTTGGAGAGGTACATAGGGCGAGGTCCCAAACAGAGGTGCTTCTGCGTGTGGGGAGCCTGTGTCCAGCTGGGTGGCACATGGAAACCTCCTGGTGACGAGTGCAGAAGCTCCCTGGAGAAAAGGAAGGAGGGGTCACAGAGCTGGCCCCTTGGGTTTTTAGGGAGGTTTCATTCCATGGTCTTGATTGACTGAGTCCTTAGACTTCAGCTGATTCCATGTCCGGGTTGGGGTGGCGGAGGGGTGCGGACTGGTGTTTGATGTGACCCGGCATTTCCCTGAGGGGTGAACCCCGGCGGTGCCGTCGGCGGCTCTGTCGCCGCATGTGGAGCAGGTCTGTCCTCCCAGCATGGCCTGCCGCCCCCTGACACAGCCGTGCGGTGAAAAGGGGCCTCCTTTCCTGCTGCTGTCGCCACTACGACAGCCAGGCATTTTCTGAGAAATGCTGAAGAACAGAGGTGTAAGTGTTGAATCAAGACATCTTACATTTAAATGAAAATGTTTTAACAGTTTTTAAATTTAACAATTTTAAGTGACAATTACTGTCAAATAACTGAAAAAGAATATAAGGTAGCATGGTTTGAATTGAGAAAAGAGCTTGTAGTTAAATATGAAGAGGTGATAGGCACAAAATATATGGTGATAAGTTTGAACCTCTTTACGTGAGCTTCCTACAAAGCTGACCAAGGACAGAAATGTGAAGGGGCCCAAACGGACGGGACGGTATAGATCAGGTGGAGGTTCCTGCGGCCCTGGGCGGCTGGCGCGCTGCCCATGTGTGGGCCGTGCGTTGTTAGTGACCCTCTGTAAAGGGCGCCGCCCAGGGCTCCGGGTGGCACACCTGCATGGCTCGCTTGCTCGAGCCCTCGGGCGGCCGACCCTCACCTTGTCCCTCCAGCCGTGGCCCCCTAGGCTTTAACCCAGTGGTGCCCCCCCTGCCGGAGTTGTGCTCCGGCTTCGTGCTCGCTGGGTGGGAGGAGAGGAGGTTAAGTAGAACATTAAACACAGAGTGGGGGCTTACGCTGTCTAGAAAATGTGAGCGCCACCCTTATTTTTCAGGTAGCCAACTCAGAGTCCTAAGTAATTAAAATTCTGCCGGAAAGCCTATTTTAGTCATGAAGAAAAATCTCAGCTATATGGTATGATGGGTCTCAAAGACAGACTTAACCTAGACTTTGAACCTTTTCAAGAGCATGTTTCTATTTGTGGGGCCAGTGGGCCACTTGTGTGAAAGTCCCTGGGGAGCGGAGGGCAGCCGTTCCTGACCCCACACGTGCTTTGCCCACTAAGGCTGTGGGGGGCCATTGTGCCTCGTGGTCCCAGGGAGAGCAGTGCAGGTGGAGATGGTGATCGGGTGGCTGCTTCCCGTGGCCTCTCCCTCCTCCCTCCCCAGCCCCACTGGCGGAGGGTGGCCCCTGGGAGCGGCAGCGCCCATCCCTGCCCTGCCCGCAGACCGGGTTCAGGCACTCCAGCTGTGCTTCACCTCTCCCCTGTCCCTGTCTTCACCTGTAAAGCGGGGATGACATTAGCTCCCACCTTTAAAGTTAGGAGGGTCGCCATCTAAAGTGCTTAGACATGCCTGGCATTTCAGAAACACCAAATAAATGGTAGTTACTATTATAGGCACATGTCTTGAAGAACCTCCTTTAAGAAGCATTTCTTCTGAATAGTGAATGTTCAGTTTTAATTAGGTCTTTGCCTATAAACGTTATTGAACTCTCTGGCCCTCGTTTTGTCCTCTGCACCCCCTGAGTATGTGGCTGTGGCACCTGGGACCCCTGCTGCGCACCTGGCTCAGTTTCCCCAGGACCCAGGCTGGTGGGGGAGCACTCTTACCCAGCACAGTAGCTGCCACGTGGCATCAGAATCCCGTGTTCCATCCTGTTCGCTGCCGTAACTCTAAAATGACCATTCGAAATAGTTCCCAACCTTCACCTCATGGTGCTTAAATAGGGCATGTCTGAGACACATCACCAGAAAGTGTTCTTTCACGATAATCGTATCAATTTACATGATCAAAATAATAAAATTAGATTACATAGTTCTTAGGATGTTATAGAATGTTTACTGTTCTCATTTCATATTAGCAGCATGTTTCCTATGAAACAGTCAACACTTAATTGGAGTTAGAATAATCAAAATTCAGACACACCCTGTTTTTTGGGCTTTGCAGATACTGCGTTTTTTAGAAATGAAGGTCTGTGGCAACCTTGCATCGAGGAAGTCCACTGGCACTGTTTTTGCCGCACCATTTTCTCTCCTTGTGTCTGTGCCACATTCGGTGATCGCAGCAGTATCTCTATCATCACCGCATTTGTTATGGTGTCTGTGATTGCGATTATGACTAGCTGAAAGCTCAGACAGTGGTTAACGTTTTTCAGCTCTAAAGTATTTTTAAATTAAATAGTTGCATTTTTTCCTTAGACACAATGTGACTGCACCCTTCACAGACTACGGTACAGTGTGAACATAACATTTATATGCCCTGGGAAATGAAAGAATGCATTTGACCCACTCCGTGGAGATGAAGGGTAGTGTAGGGCCCAGCCCACAGTCTATGTGAGGTGGCCTGTACATGCCCACGGAATACGTGTCAGATCATGCTTAGTTATTTTAATCTCTCACTCAGTCACCAGGTCTGAAATATTGACAAGCAGTGTATTTTAAATCGATCACTTAAATATCTAAAACTTACATTTCTGGGTCCCCCACGTGGGATGGGCTGTGACATAAAGATCTGATCTTGCCAGCGTGTTTTCATTTTGCAAAGGACGGATACCAGTAGAGGGTATATAATTTCAAAGGTAAAATCTAAAAATCAAATGTTTGATGAATGAATTTGGGCTGATACTCAAAGAACAAATATTTATTGAGCACTGATGAGGTGCAAGCTCCTTACACCTTATACCTTATAATACCTACTCCAAAGATGATTTTTGTACAGATTCTGACCACAAAATTGGAAAGTGCTCTGGGGCTCAGAGGAGATGCGGGGGGGGGCTGACTGTGTGTATGAAGTCAGGGTGAGCCGGGCCAGGGGGGCGGCTCCCCAGCAACTCCGTGAAGCCCAGGCAAGCTGCTCGGTCATTGCTGTCCTCGCCTCCCTGGGAGCAGAGCTGACGTGGTGTCTGTCTGTCCATCCTTACCTCCCTGGGAGCAGAGCTGACATGGTGTCTGTCCATCCTTCCTGAGAGCAGAGCCAACGTGGTGTCTGTCCATCTGTCTGCCCCAGGTGCTGTCCTTCCTCTTCATCGGGCTCATGTCTGCAGCGACCCCACTGTGCACCGCCTTCGGGGCGCTCCTGGCTGTCTGCCTCGTCATGGGCCTCTTTGACGGCTGCTTCATCTCCATCATGGCGCCCATTGCATTTGAGCTGGTGGGCGCCCAGGACGTCTCCCAGGCCATCGGGTTCCTGCTCGGGCTCATGTCGGTGCCCATGACTGTGGGCCCACCCATCGCAGGTAAATGCAGTGAGTCTCTGGCAGCTATATTAATTCTTAGCATTTTCTAGAGTGCAGGTCCTAAGTCCAACTTATATGTAAAATACATCATGATTCATTGTGTGTGCCTTTTCTGTGTAACATTTTTAACAAGATGAGCTGTAGGTGGCATGTTGAAAAAGTTTGCTGAGGAGGCCCCTTATCCTTGTTCTTACCTAAAATGCTCAATTCAATATTTAACAGTAAGCTTCTGGGCATTAAGCTTTTGTAGTTCCTGTATTTCACTTGGTATGTGTTTTGGAGGAATGAGAACACAGTTTTCTTTTCAAAATAGATGATTCTGAAAGGTTTCTGAATGTGTATGCTTCCCGTAGAGGTTGTATCTGCCTGAGAAATAAAGAAAAAATAGCATTTAGTGGAAAACACCCAAATGTTCACAGTAGACATGAATAGGATAAATGAAATGTGGCCTCTCCATTCAGCCATAAAAAGGAGCGAAGCACTGATACATGCAACCAGGAGGCTGTGAGGAATCGCAGGGTTACAGCCACACATAGTCAGTGTTCATAAAGATAATAGGTTCAGTTAAATAGGGAATATTCTGAGTCAGAAGATAGGACAAGAAAGAGGGTAGATAGGAAAAAGACAGGAAAGTCATCTATCTCCATATGCTGTATACTTGAGGTTTCTATCCAGAATTAAGGTACCCTTTTTTTATGTGTTGGTACTTAACTAGACAGATCCCCAGCTGCTTATATAGAATCAAATACTCAGAACAGTGTGTTCCCTGGACATCTCAGATAACCGAGGCTATATAAGTAACAGTTACAGATATTTAAAAATACTAAGGTAACTTTTAAAACCTGGATTTTGTTAGATGAGAAATAAGAACTCTGACAGTTTTCAGAAGCAGAGTCCAAGGATCTATTGGAACACCAGATATGTATCCTTACATTTTGCTCCCAAGGGCTGACAAGCCAAAATGTATCTAACAGCCTAACTTTTTCATCCTCACTTTTAAATTTATAATTTTTCATAATTTTAAGTAGTTCATTTCATAAACAAGTAGGTCCAAGATAGGTTTGAAATGTGGCATTTTTAGGTACATGTGTATGGAACAAGTTCTGGCTTGGCGGCCGGGCCGTCCCCGGCTGACAGATGGGCCTTGGCACCACACTGTTGGGCACCCCGAGCGGCCTGGGAGGGTTTTGAGCCCAAAGCTTGGTTGCAGGGTATTTTTCTGATGTCATATCCTGGTGTGAGAGCTCAGAGGCCTGCAATCCGGCAAGACCAAAGAAAGATTCAAGCGATTTCCTTCCTCATATCAGAAAAGGCTTATGTTTCAGACCCATTTCTTTAAAAAAATCTGATGTCTGAGATTCTGTGTGAAGTCGTCTGGCCGAGATGAAGGTAGGAGGCCAGGACTCGGCCGACAGGTGGCGCTGAGGCCCAGGGACACGCGTTCTCTCCCTTCCCAGGGTTGCTCCGTGACAAGCTGGGCTCCTATGACTTGGCTTTCTACCTCGCCGGGATCCCTCCCCTCGTCGGGGGCGCCATCCTCTGTTTCATCCCGTGGGTCCATAGTAAGAAGCAGAGAGCGGGCAGTGACCCTGCGGCAGGAGGACAGATGGACAGAATGGACCACCAGAGCGCTCTGCTGGCAGGCTCCGCGGGAATCCTCAGGAAAGAGTCCGACTCTGTTATTTGATGTCTCCTGCGCCTCCACCGGACTGGGCTTGCTTTCAGAACTTTAAGCAAGTCGTCCTTTTATATGAATTGCAAATTAATTTTTTAAATCACATCCCAAAAGTAGCACAATCATTGGGAAATAGAATCTTGCTACTGTAGAACCATTTTCTGCTGCTGAATAGCTATCCGATGCTCCCACCAGTCTGAGGGCAGAGACCCTGGTAGACGAAAACATGTTTGGTGAGGATTTGAAGCTATCTCAGTGAAAAGCAACTTTGGAAACTGAATGCTCTTTAGTTTGTACAAATATTTAAAAATACCTCAAGCTAGATTGAAAGGGCTGCATTTGATTAGGACTGGAAAAAGGTTGTCGCTTCACATGGTGTTTTTAGCTCTGGGGTCTGTTTTAAGTTCTTCTGCTATTTGGAAACTTTCTACAAAACTTAAGCCTGGATTCTAGGTAATGTCAGCTCTACCTAATCTCAAGTCTGTTGAAGTCGCTTACCTGCTGTGAAACAAGCTGTGCAATTCACTTCCTCTGACTTGCCCCAGTGTCCGGAGGCCTTCCTAGGGCAGAGCCCAGAGTGTGCCAGGAACCGGCGTGAGACCAGAAGGGTCCCATTCGCAGGGTGGGGTGGTCCCCAAATCAGGCCTTTCTTCCATTTACGTCTGTTCTTCTTGGGTTCACACTGTTTGACTCAAGTAGCCAGAAACACCCCCAAATTTCTGAATTTGTTTGAACAACAAAGTAAAACAGAATGAAAGCTATTCTGGCAAATTTAATGTAGAATTTTTCTGAGTTGACTTGTTAGCACTAGAACTTGATATTTTAAGTCTTCCTGAGCATGTTCCCAAGTTGCAGTTTGAGGCACAAATGGGGAAAAAAGAATCTTTGTATTTGTGAAGATAATATCTATTTCTGACAGAAGCAGTTGCTCAAATTGGTTTATAAAATTAATGTGTCTCGAAAGGTTAAAGCACTTAGGAAGAGAAACAACTCACACATTTCAAAAGCTTCCTAGCAAAAAATTGCTAGGCCACCTCCTTCAGCTTTCAAAGCCCAAAGAAAAGCCCCGTGTGAGCAATTACTGCTTCATCGGAAGGGAGCTAATGGTTGCCCGGATTAAAAGGCACGGGGCACAATATGAAGGGGTCAAAATACCAGTAAAAGCTCTTCAGTGATTTGTTCTGATAAATGGATATAAAAGGAACAAAAAAGGAATATTAATTTATGTGGCATGGGAATAATCTGAAAAATGAAAAACTGAAGTAATGTATAATCCACGTGTAATAATGACAGTCATTAAACCGCTCTGCCGGTGGCTTTTCAAAAACACACCAGCAACTTGACAATGACTGCTTTCCTCTGTGTTTTCTTTGGCAGGAGAACAGACAGTCACCGACAATAGAGTGCATGCTTGCGCCTTACCCGTCCAGCTCACACATTAAACTCCCATACGGGGCACCCCTTTCCGGGTGGAACGGGTTCTGGGCAACGCATTTTTGTCTTATTGGTGCCATGTCAAGTGGGTGGCAGTGTAGGTAGTTAACCCACAAGTTCCCAGGCAGAGGCGGTTGCCGGCCTCTCCGGGTTGCACTGTACTTTGGAGTTGAATGTCACTGAGCATGCGTGTGATCACAGCTGTCAGTATAAACAACACTGAGAAATCAAATTAGATCCGTGGTACTATTTTGGAGCCTCTCAGGTAGGACTTTTACCAGATAATACTTTTCAATATCTGTTTGTTAGAAGAGTTGTTTTTGTTGAATATTTTAAATGTGGGTAACCACGTAAACATTGTCTCCTGTGATCTTCCCTAAATAGTCTTCTGTATCACGTTCCAACGTACTAGAAAGTAGCGGGTCAAAGTCTTCCATGATTCAGGGTGTGCTGGGGCGGTGTTTCAGGGCAAGCGTCTGTCATCAGCAGTGCTGCACTACGAGCACACTGCATATCTGGTGCCTTTTTCTCCCCTACCAAAGAAAGGTTAGATCAAAATTGGTGCTGAATTTCATGTTCCTTGCAAAATTATTTTTTATTTTTGAATACGAATATAACCCAATAGGAGATGTTTAGCTATAGCAGTACTATGCTTGTTGTATTTCATATATATCTCTCAGGAAAAATACCTCACCTATAAAGTAATTACTGAGTTCAAATATCTACTTAGAGGTATGTAATTCTGTTAATAGGTAAGCCTTTAAAGTATGAAACTCACAAAAAATGATTACCCAATGAAAACTTAGTCATACTGAGTTTAGCTCCAGTAGGTAACAACTTTAAAAGTTCCATACAATGTTACATGTCACTTATAAGTAAAGATAAAGAAAAAGTTCCTTGTTAATGCTTCTAGCTTGAAGTTAGCTATTCAAAGGGTTCTGTAACTCTGAGGGTATGTGAAAAATGTGTTACATATATTTTACTATATACAGTATATAGCTTCCTACTGTTTAAGTAGACATTTTAAGCTATATTTCAGGCTAAAATCAGTTTTGGGAGTCATCAATCTTAAATTTGGATAATGAGCTACATTAAAAAAGAATTCTCACTGTAAGTATTACTGTCCATCTTTCAGATTTAACACAAAGATTTAAATCAGTAAGGTCGATGTCTGGGTCAGTGTCACCAAATCTCAGACCTATAATTGATTAAGGGCCGTCAGCATGGTGGTGGACGCTCACTGTATGACACCTGAAAGTCCCTGTGGACTTGAGCCCTGATGTCCTGGAAGCAGGATTCGGACAAAGTGGGGACCTGAGGTGGGACCAGCAGGTTTATTCAATCCTGCTATCTTTATAGACTTCACCGTAACTCTATTTTATAAGGGTGTTATACAAACAAGTTAAGAAAATGATACACAGTATCATTTTCCTAATTAGGTCATATCATATGTTTAGAATAGAATACACTGGATTCTGTTAACTGGTAACTCCTTTCCACTGTTACTGTGAGTCATGTACGGGAGGGAGGATGGAGGTTCGCTAATCAGAAGTCGCAGCAGAGTGAGATCAAATATTCCCTACCTTCTAATATAACAGTAGCTTGTGAAGTGTGAAATCATCAAGGCATCGCACAGGCTTGGTTAGTTTGTATCTTGTCAGTCTGATCTCCTGTCAGGTTATTTTAGCCTGGAAGTCACAGCTACCACACACCAAACCCTGCAGTATTATTAAGAGAGAGCGTGGATATTTTAAGTATCTCCTAGTATAATATGGCATTTTTCATGTCAACTTATTTTAATGTTGATTGGAAAAGTTATTTTTAAATTATTTTGTGTATTTTCAGTTAGAAATGCACACTTTACCTTAAACACCAAAAAAACACACAAATTCTTCTGGGGCGTGCCGTGCACCCGGTGAGGCTCTGTTTCTCCGCCTACACAGGGTGCTCTGTGGCACAATATCAGTTTACATGTAGTTCACTGTGCGAAATAATTGGGCTGGGTTCGCTCAGTATGCAGCATTTTATGCTTGCCTTAAAAATGATGTTTCTCTTTAAAGAGTATGATTTATAATTGATTTTTTATAATGTGAAAAATAGATAACCAAAACCTTTTTAATGAAAAAAGCTTTGTAATCATATGAAGAATATGATCATTTTTCTGTGGAACAATGTGATAGTCTCAGTAAATATAATTTTAAAATTTTAATAAATTTCTGGAAGCCCTTATGGTTTTATTTCTGGAATGCTCTGGGGAGACAGGGGAAGGAAAATGTACCAAAGTGAGGAAAACTGCTGAATAAAAGAAGCTGTGTGCCTCTTAAGCTGCATGTACGTGCGCCAAGTGCTGGAGGCTGTCTCTTCTCCAGGGCCAGGGCCAGAAACGGTGATGGAAAGCGCGCAGGCTCTTCTCTTTGACGCTCTTCCGTGGCTGACTTACACTGCTGTCTGCTTTACTTCCACGGATGAAAGTCAGCTGGTACTCGGGGCCTCGTCCTCACGGGCAGGCCCCAGGGATGCTCGGGAACCGGGCCGCAGTTTTAAAAGTGGTCCCGTTATTGTGGGTTGTCCACCTGGAGGAACGCTGACTGCACGCAGACCATGTTCACTGATGACCCCTAAGTACAAAGCCAGTCATTCCTTACGTTTAATGGTGCTAAGGAAACTTCCTACATTAAACTCAAAAAACGTGGGATTCGTGACTGGTCACCTACTCCAGTCATTATTTAGGTGTGGGCACTGTGGTGGTGGACTGGAGTTGGAGAATGCCAGGGGACACTCGTGGGTGGGTGTTCCTACACACTTCCCGGTGCCGCCCACGGAGGCCGAGGAGCACGGAGCGCACCCCCTGTTCCACCTGGTCGCGGGAGGCACTCAGAGCGCAGGCATTTGGCTCGAGAGGGGCCCCTGTGCTTATTCTAGGTCTAATGCTGGCATAGTGGACCTGCAGGGGGCAGCGCGGAAACCCCACAGTGCCTTCTGCCTCTACAGAAAGAGGAAAGCTTGTCTGGAGGCACTGCGAGCCTGAGAGCTTCCCAGACAACAGCGTTGCCACTAAAGAACATGTCCTGAGACTCTGTCCGTGGAATGCGTTATGGAAGTGAGAAAATACCGCACCTACTATTTTGAAACGTGACTTTTCACTTAATAATCTTTTCATGTTGTATTCACTGTGACATTTGTTTTTGCTAATGATAAAAAAGTCAAACTGGCTCAGGCCTAAAGGTGAGGGTCGGGTGCGGGTGACAGCGGGCATGGTAGAATCCAGGGTCTGGCCATGTCAGGGGCTGCAGCCCTGCCAGCCCCCGACCCTTCCTTCTCGGTGGGCTCCATTCAGGCAGGCTTTTCCCCTCAACAGCTCCAAGCTGTCCCTTATATCAGCCCTAGCAGAAAAAAGAACTTCCCCTTTCCTACTATTTTTGACAAAAGTCCTGGGACTGAAACACACAGGCCCGGGTCGGGTGCCCCCCTCTGCCTGTCGCTGAGGCTGGAGTTAGGAGGTGCTGGCTCAGCAGCCCCGAGCCTCGTGCCGCCTGGAGCCGGCTGGTGGTCAGCTGGCTTCGTGGAACAAGAGGAGAAAGAGTGGCCCCTTCCGGAGAGCTGGGGACCTGTTGCCTGAAAAAGGGGGGAATGGATTCGTAGCCCAGTAACAAGTTGACCACGTATGTCGATCAGTGTCATCTTACGTCATCATTTCAGTGGTGCAGCTGCCCCATGGACAAGAGGAGCCCTTGACTTGGGGTCACTCTTACTGGACACTGAGGTTAGTTTCATGCCTTGGCACGACGAGCACCATGGCTACAAGCCACCCAACAGCTCGTTTTATGCCGACTGTTGTTTCCAGAATCCTAGCGATGGGATTTCTAGCTAGAAGGGCGGCACGTTTTGCTTTTACTGTGTCACAGAGTGAATTACGATGTTTTATCTGCATTTTTGTAACACTGGGTACTATTTAAATTCTAAAATCTGAAAAGTGTGTAGGTTAAAGAAACACCTCATGTTAATATTTTTTTCAGTTGTGGTAAGTGTACATAACAAAAATTACCCCCTCTGCCACTTGGGTGTGCTGGGACCCTGACACGTCCGGCCTGCTGTGTGGCCGTCACCGCTGTCCACCTCTGGAACGTGCCCGTCGTTCCAGCAGGAACTGCATGCCCCCCGCACACTGTCCCCGCTGCACCCCCAGCCCCGCACTCCCTCTGCCCCCCATCTCTGGGAACCTGCCACCCAGGGACCTCACACACGTGGGATCTGCAGCATCTGCACTGTCCTTACCGACAGACGTAAATGCCTTCCCGTCGGCTGCTGGGCCGCCTGCTGTTCTTCCCTGGGAGGCTGTTCTTTTCGTCTACTTCTCTGTTGGGACGTTTGCCTTGATCTCACTGCTTTGTGAACTCTCTTTACAGATCAGCTTGGACTTGAGTACGTGTCGCTTAAGACCTCCCCAGCTTGTCTAGTTACACTTTACAAATAAAACTTTCATTTTTGTAAACTTTGTCATTGCTTATATGTTTAGAAAGGCCTTTTCCACTCCAAGTATGTGAATCTATTCTTAAAATTCCTTCTCATGTTTGTATGGCTTTATTTTTATATCAATACTCTCAACTCTGTGATTTATTTTTAAGTGTGGTATGAAGTAGGAATCGATTTTTTAAAACATATCTGTGCGGGTTGATACTCGATAATACTTACTGAATAATCCACCTTCGTTCCAATAATCTGACAGTATATATGCTTTTCTACTGGGAACAATGACAAAAATAATACGCTTCCTGTTTTTCCCTCTCTCCACCCTTCTCTCCATTGCCTTATTTTAGTAGGTAATGCCTTTCTTAGCATTTACCTCTATATTATTAAAAAGAATGCTTCTAATTTCATTACTTATTAGCTTTAGTGATGACTTTTGACCCCTAGTGACTGAGGCTGAAGAAATCAGGATGCCTTTATCTGTGTGCACCCTTTGCTTCTGTCAGCAGCGTGATTTCTGCCTTACTGGGGCTGGTGGCATTTAATTCCATTCCGTCACCATGGCCCTGCATTTGTCCTAATCTCATAGTTCATGTCAGTGGTCCCTGCACTTCACGGTTTCTTCTCCACTCATCTCTTGATTGGCCGAACCTCACGAACTTCCCCAATCGGCTCGTCAAAGTCAAATGCGCTGAGTTATTTCATGTTCAAACTGTTTGGCTTCCGCCTTTGCATTGGAAGGAGTTTGGCCCATGATCCCTTTCCTTTGGGAACCAGTGGGCACAGCTCGGAGGCCTCTGAGTGCTGGAGTTTGCTGTGGGAAAAGGCTGGGGCCTGGCCTTCGGACTCTCGCATCCTAACCTCACTGACTGTCGGCCGGGGTGAGTCCAGACTCACCAGCTGACCCAACAGTCAGCTCACCCTCGCAAGCTGCACGCTGGCAGTGAGCCCAGCCAGTGAGTTCAGCTGGACCCAGCGCTGCGTTCACTCTCCTGGGCCTAATTCCCTTGGCATCTACTTCCACACATTCACCAGGTTTCTGCTAATATGTATTAACAAGGTACTGCACATCCTTTGGTGTGTAAGCTTTTTCCTCCTGGGCACCTTTTCACGGCATCTGTCCCAGGTGAGGTTACCACGGTATTTAAACAAAGATTAGACTTTCCAGATGCTGGAGAGACTCGACCGCCTAGCGACTGACCGTCCATCCCCATTGTATGCCTGTAAAAATAAGCCTTGAAGCTTAAGAACAGAGGGAGTCCTGAACTTACCACAGATGAACTTTGATTATGAAGCAACTTAAAAATAAGACTTATCAGGACTCCTTAGGGCAAACTGAGATACTGTCCCCTCCTGTCGCCTCTGGAAAACACCATTTGACAAGACCCAGGGCAGATGTCTTACATGAGTGGCTCCCAGCTGAAATTTTATTGCCCATGGGGGAAACCTTGGAACTTTGTGAGGGTGTCAGAATAGCATTTAGTGGGCAGGGGCCAGAGGTGCTAGACAGCTAGACAGCTACTATGTGTGGGGTACTCCCACATACTGTCCAACTTTTTAATATCCTGCTAATATTCATTGAGTGGAAAGAAAAACAAAACTTGTTTTAACTTATCTGAGCCTAGACTATAACTCTCTTGTACACATAAACACAAACATTTTTTGCAGTTTCAATAAACACCAAATTTCCCAAGAATATAAACTCAAAGGAAGAAAACACTTTTAGTTAGAATTTTATGAGGAGTGAGTGGCTTGGGTGACCCAACAGGACTGCAGCTGCACGCTCACGCTCCTCAGCAGCCTGCCCAAAAGTCTCCTTTCTCTGCCTTGGGAAAGTCTCAGAACACCATCTCACTCCAACCACAGCTATGAACCCCCCAAATCCTGGGGTGGAAGGGGCTCAGTTCCTACACCATCAGATCTAAGCGGACACTGGACGCCAAGTGACCCTGGCTTCAGGGGTTGGCAGGGGATGTGCCCTGTGCCGAGCAGGAGTTCAGTGAGCTGCCCTTCCCTCCCTCCATCTGCTCCTCCTTGCCCTCTGCTGCCTGCCCGGCTGCTGCCATTCCCTGCTACTCTTGCTCTAATGAATTCCTTCCTTACCAGTCCGGCCTGTTTGAGAATTCTTTCTAGTCCAGAGTCAAGACCCCTTCCGCATCCAATCTGAAGTTTCACCTAGTGCACAGAGAGAGACCTGTCCCCAGACGCAGCTGCCCAGCGACAGTACCAAAGGGCAAGAAGACACAGTGCCCCCCCTCAGGCGCTCTCAGTGCGGAGGGGAGGATGACGCACAGACGGGAAGACTATATGAAGTAGTAGGTGGAGTGTCAGAATCACACACACAGGAGGGAAACTAAACCGGAACCGACGGCAACACAGAGTTTGCAATGTGAACTTCACCAGGTTGAGTGCCTGCTCAAGACAAACACATATTCTCCAGAGGAGTATTTTTAACAAGATCCAGATCTAAACAATGGAACTGCCACAGTATCCAGGATACAACAGAAAATTACCTGTCATGCAAAGAACCAGGAAAATGTGACCGACTCCCAAGAGATATGACAATCAACAGATACTGGCCCTGAGTTAATACAGATGTTGGCATTTTCAGACAAAGATGTTAAAGCAGCTATTACATGCTCCAGAAGATAGAGATAAACACACTTTAGGTGAATGAAAAGATAGATATTTTCAACAGAGAAGCAAACTATGAAAAAAACCAAGTGGAAATTCTGAACTGAAAGGTACAATACATGAGATGAACAAATTCCTTAGCTACAATAGCAAAATGGAGATGACAAAAGAAAAAGGCAGTGAACTTAAAAGACAAGGCAGCAGAACTTGTCCAAACTTAAAGAGCAGACAGGGAAAAAAGAGACTGGGAAAAATTGAACATCTGAGAATTAGGGACCCACGGACGATACCAAAAAACTGAGCATACAAGTCATCAGAGTCCAGAAGAGGAGAAAGAAACTGAGGCAGAAAACTTAATGGAAAACATCCCAAATTTGGTGGAAGACACACATTTACAGATTAGAGAAGCGTGGTGACCACCAACAGTTATATTCAAAGACAACCATGCTCTGAAACAGAAACATCAAACTACTGAAAGCTAAAGATAAAAAGTCTTGAAGGCAGCTAACGAAACCTGGAACACTACATGCAGGAAAGCAATGACTTGAATGACTGCACAGTCCAGGGTGGCCAGAGGACACTAACCACTGCCAAGTGCTGAAAGAAAAGGCTGTGGACTCAGAAGCCTATATCCAGGGAAAATATGTTCAGGGATGAAGGTGAAACAGACATCCTCAGCCGAAGGAAGATTCAGAAAGCTCAGTCAGCAGACCTGCCCCAAAGAAATGCAGAACTAAGTTCTTCAGGATGAAGGTAAAGGACACCAAGGGGAAACCTGGATGTTCAGGAAGGAAGGAAGAATGGAAAACGTTAACTGGGTTAATATAAAGGACTTCTTCTCTTCTTTAAAATGGGTGTGATGATGGAAAAGATGGGCAGGAATAAGCCAGATGCTGTCAGGGAAGACTAAGCTACGGTAACAGAAATTCAGTGATTTAGAAACAGATTTTTCTCTGACACGGCAGTCAAGAGGGAAGCATTCCCTCTGGCCTTTCCGCTCACGTTCTGTTGGCAACACGAAGTGCAAATTCCGCGGGGAGAAGCAGCCGTGCTGCGCAGCCACCGGGTTATGACTGACTTAGGAAGAGCAAATGATTTGACTGACAGCTGGCAGCCTCTGCCAGAGCAGGTCAGAGAGAACGGCGGCGTTTAGGCGGGGCAAGTACGGAACGACACGCGGCGCGTAAAGAACCATGGATTTTGACGTTGGTGTGAATAATGAGACGGGTAGCAAGAGGGGAAGCTAGACAAGCGGGCGGGCAGATGAGGTCGGGTTTTATTCTTGAGGAGGAGTTGAAGGGCTTTATACTGCAGATTTTCGTTTCAGTTGGACACTTAGGGGTGAAAGATGGACCTGGAGAACAGAAGACCGGAGGGGAGAAAACCGAGCGCGCTGGGGCGGCCTGCGAGGCTGGCGGGCGGCGAGAAGCCCGAGAGCGGGCTTGGGGACGGCGCGGGGCCCGCAGGGGGCGCTGGCAGGACCGGGGCGGTGGCTGCGGAGCGCGCGGCGGGAAGCGCGAGCAGGCTGGCCCGGAGAAAGGGCTGCTTCAGGTGATAAACATGAAATAGTGCGAAGCCTGCGTTCCCACAGAATGCTTACTTTCCGAGGTCACACCTCGGCGGGCCGGGGGCCCAAGCGCCCCCGTCACCTCCCATTCCGTTAGGCGCAGGGACGCCCCCGGGCCGGCAGCTGGCACAGGCCCCCTCGCTGGGCTGAGTCGGGAAGGGCGTCGCGACCAACGGCGGGGCTGCAGGGGACGCGCGTCGTCAGGCGGGAGGCCCGGGCCGTGAAGAAGCCTCTGCGCGTGTGGAGGCCGTCGTGCGCCGTTCGAGAGCAGAAGCGGGAGGGAGGGAGCCGCACAGGGCTCGGCGGCGGGGCGAGGCCCGCCCCGCTTCCACAGCCGGGGCCGGGCAGGGCTGCGTGGCGCCCCCGAGGCCGCGGCCCAGCTCGGTTTGCTTCCCGGGCTCCCGCCGCGGTCTCGGGGCCCGACGCGCTCGGCGACCTCGGCAAGCTGCTGCCCCCTCCGTCGGGCTCCCCGACATGCGAAGTGCGGGTGGCGCGGAGGACGGGCTCGCGGCCAGGATCACCCGCGAGGACACAAAGCCCCGCTAGCAGCTTGTGGCCCGCGCGTCTTCACGAGCCGCCCAGCACCCGCTCGCCCAGTCTCCACGAGCCCGGTCGCCTAGGCAACCACGCCAACTTCCGGCCGGAGAAGAGGCCGCGGTTGGCCAGAAGCCACATTTCCGCCACGTGACACCGGCCGGCGCGCGGGGGGTCGCACGAGGGCGCGCGTCTGGCGCCTGCCGCCCCGCGGGGTGGAGTGTGACTTCGGGCGGACCCGACGGCCGGGCGGGGCCGGGCGCGGCTGCGAGTGCCGGGGTTCGGCGCCGAAGGCGGCCCGGCGAGGCTGCTTCTGGAGCCGCCGAGCTGGAGCTGGCACTGGAGCCCCGCGGGGCCGCGGCCCCCGCGGCCGGGCAGCGGCTCCTGAAGGCCGAGGCCCCGGCGGAGGAGGCGCGGGCGGCGGGCTCCCGGCGGGGCGGCGGGGCCGGGGGCGCGCTGCGCGGGCTCGTCACGGCGGTGCTGTGCGCCGCCTTCCTGGGGCTGGTAAGCGCGGCGCGGGCGCCCTGCGGGGCCTCCTCCGGGTCCCCCGGCTGTCAGTGCGGCCGGGCAGGCGGGCTCGCTGCGGGGACCCGTGAGCGTCGCCGTCTCCGCGCGGGCGTGACGGGGGCTGGAAAGGCGAGGCGTTTCTGTGAGGAAAAAGGCGTGTTTGGGGACGTCCCCAGGGTCCGTCCGCTCGTCTTCGTACGGGGGACTGAGGCGGGACCCGCGCGCAGGGCAGCGCCCCAGACGGGAGCCCTTCCACGGCCTGGCCGCTGACATGTGCAGCCTTCACACTCTGCTGTTACTCGTGCCTGTAATGCATTTCAGAATATAGGGAACTATTCCAAAAACTATTTTAACGTTACATTTCACTGTTAACACAAAACAGTCGTTCAGGGCATGGTTCAAAAAGGAAACAATTGCAGCAGAAAGCCAGAAGAATTGAAGAGTTTTAAAAATTGGGAGTTGTCAAAACTAGAAAAACAGGATCTGGCACACCGGAAGGAGGAGGTTGGAGCCCTTTAGTACTGGTATGAACCTTGTGAACTTTTCTTGACTGTGGGACTTAGACGATTTCCCTACATTACACTGAAAGCTTCCATTTTTTTCAATATTGGGATAAAGTTGATGCACAATATTGTACCGGTGTGAGACGTACAACATAGTGACTTGATCATTGTATACATTTCTAGAGGCTTGTCGCAGTGTAGTTGACCATTATCACGCTGTTACAATATTACTGGTCATACTGTCTAAGTTGTACTTCCACCCCTATGCCTAACTTACAGTCTGCAGTTAGTGTGCCTCTTTATCCCCTTCACCTACGTCACCCTCCCTGTGGTGACTGACAGTCTGTTCTCTGTATTTGTGGAACTATTTTTTGTTTTGTTTTTTTACATTACACATGTAAGTGAAATCATGGCATTTGTCTTTCTCTGCCTGGCTTATTTTAGTTAGCATAATGCCCTCTAGGTCCATCCCTGTTGTTGGAAATGGTGAGGTTTCCTTTTTTATGGCTGAATAAATATTCCATTGTAGGTATGTACCACATCTTTATCCATTCTGTCAGTGGGTGCTTGGGTTCCTTCTGTATCTTTGCTGCTGTAAATAGTGCTGCAATGAACATAGGGGGGCAAATGTCTTTTTGAATTAGTAGTTTTTTCTTTGCGTAAATCCCCAGAAGTGGAATTGCTGGGTCATGTGACATTTCTATCTTCAGTTTTTTGAGGACCCTCCATACCGGGCCAGTTCACATCCCCACCAGCAGTGTAGGAGGATTCCTATTTCTCTGCACCCTCATCAACACTTTTATTTCTTGCCTTTCAGATGGTAGCCACTCTGACTGGTGTGCAGTGATACCTCATGTCATTTTGATTTGCATTTCCCTGATGATTAGTGATGTGGAGCATCTTTTTGTGTGCCTGTTGGTTATCTGTATGTCTTTGGGAAAATGTTCAGGTTGTCTGCCCATTTTTAATTGGGCAATTTGTGTTTTTGGTGTTGAGTTATATGAGTTTTTAAAATATATTTGGGATATTAGCTCCTTATCAGTATGTCGTTTACAAATATCTTCTCATAAAGTAGGTTGTGTTTGCTATGCAGAAGCTTTTTAGTTTGATGTAGGTCCCACCTGTTCATTTTTTATTTCCTTTGAGGAGACACATACAGAAAAATCCGCATGATGATGTTAATGAAATTCTTGCAAATGTTTTCTTCTAGAAGTGTTAATGGTTTCATGTCTTACATTCAGGTCTTTGATCCACTTTGAGTTTACTTTTGTGTATGGGGTTAGACAGTGATCCGGTTTCATTGTCTTGCATGTAGCTGTCCAGCTTTCCCTACACCAGTATTTGAAGAGGCTGCTTTTCCCCATGGTATGTCAGTGGTTCCTGTGTTGTATATTAATTGATCATATATGTGTGGGTTTATATCTGGGCTGTCTATTCTGTTCCATTGCTCTGTGGGTCTGTTCTTGTGCCAGTACCTTACTGTTTTGATTATCATAGCTTTGTAGTAGAGCTTGAAGTCAGGGAGTGTGATCCCCCCAGCTTTGTTCTTTCTCAGGATGGCTTTAGTCTTTTGTGGTTCTGTATGAATTTTAGGATATTTTGCTCTAGGTCACTGAAAAATGCCATTAGTATTTTGATAGGATTATGTTGAATCTGTAGATTGATTTGGGAAAGATGACCCCCTCCTTCCTTTTTAACAGTGAAAAAGGCTACTGTATAAATAAACATTACCATGATTGAAAATGGAAACTCTTCTTTTTAAATTTTAGGGAATGAGTATCGCTATATTGGGCCCGACTTTTCAAGATTTGGCAACAAATGTGAACCACAATATCAGCAGTCTTTCTCTCATTTTTGTGGGCCGTGCCTTTGGGTATTTGAGTGGCTCTGTGATTGGTGGAATTCTTTTTGACAGTATGAACCATTTTCTACTTTTGGGTAAGTGAACACCAATTTTAGCCTTTTTTGCTTTTGTTTTTGCTTTTTTAAAATTGAGGTATAGACACAATATTATGCTGGTGTCAGGTGTCCAACTTAGTGATTCAGCAGTCATCTACACTAGCTTCTTTCTGATTTTCAAGTAATTTACAGTTAAAAAAAAAAAAGAAACATACTGGCTTGTAGAGTTGCCAGCTCAAAGTGGGGGGAGTGTTTTGGTGTCCCCCACAGAAGTCAGGTTTCCCTGGCGCCTGCTTTCATCGTGGCAGCTACAGGGAATGTGTGGACAGCTGGATCGGCCGTGGAGGGCTCGGCCATCTGTAGCCTTCCAACCTTTGCAGCAATTAGGCATTGCCCCTGAATCACATACCCACTGTCCAGAGAACTCTGTTTGCCAGGCTTAGGGCAGATCTCCTGGGGCCACGGGAGGTCAGGACGAACTGCTTGAACGTGCCCGGGCCAGACCCTGGGCTGAGAGTGGAGGTGGGAGGGTGGAGCGGTGGAGCTGTCTGTCCCTGCTGCCCCATGTCCGTGATGACCCCACGCCTCTCTGCTCACCCTTGAAATAGATGGCAAAGCTTTAACTTGCTCTTTTTGAATAAATTGACTTGTTTAAAGAAAATCTGGATTAATGTAATAAAACTGCTTTGGAAGTAAGGATAGTAATTTACTCTCCTTGATGAATAAATAAGTAATTGCTCCAATTTCCACAGTTCTTATGTTTCCCTCCCTATTTCCCTAATTTAAGATATTTCTACTACAAACTACAATAGTAAGTGCATTTTATTTTTGTCTTTTTAATTTTTACCTCATATTTTAAATTCTTATATATGAAACCTTTAAATAATCTTTGACCCATCTGTTTTGCAGTAAAACTTTGCCTTGCAGTATATAGTTTGATTATTAGCAGTGCTAGACATATGTTCATACTAGGATAACTTATTATTTTATAGTCTGTGAAGATTATAAAAACATTTAAATGGAAATAACCATTTGTAGAAGCTGAACCTCTCATCTCCTCATTATTACTGAATTTACTTGACCTGCTTTGTGTTCTGGGGAGTTGTTAGGATGTTGGCTTGTCCACGATGCCTTGTGTGCGTATCGTCTCTGCCTCTGACTTCCACCTCTCTTCTCAGGGGTGTCCATGTTTGCCACCACAGTTGGGCTGTACCTGGTCCCGCTTTGTAAGACCGCAATGTTGCTGGTTGTCATGATGTCCATCTTCGGCGTTTCGGTTGGCGTCCTGGACACAGGTCAGTGTGCTCTTTAGTGTCATCTCTGGAGTAGGGACTTCTGCTAGAAAAAGTGGAGCAGGTGATATTGCCACCTGCAGTGTCCCCTCAAACCGATCTACTGAGTTGTCATGGGGTCGTCTAGTCAGAACCACCTTCCTGGCAGTTACTCTTCTCACCAGGTAGGGTGCCTGTTAACAGTACTTGAGTTCTCTGGTGGGCTAGAGCTCCTTAACTGTAAGAATCGACTCAGTTGCATCATTGGATAACTTAGAATATTGTAATCCTTGTGCCATGTGAAATAGACCGATCTTCTTTCTGCTTGTGATGAACCGTTTCTTACTGTGTCACTGTGATTCACCCTCCCCCCGTCTGTCACCGGCAGGTGGGAACGTCCTAATCCTGGCTATCTGGGGGGATCGCGGAGCGCCACCCATGCAGGCCTTACACTTCAGTTTTGCGCTGGGTGCCTTTGTGGCCCCGCTGCTGGCCAAGCTGGCCCTGGGCACGGCGGCGTCTGCTGAAAACGGCACGGCGGCTGACTCGGGCCGCTCAGCCCTCAAGCAGTCATCTGGAGCTGGCTCAGGACGTCTGCTCGGCATTCCCGACGATATGAATTTACTGTGGGCTTATGCTGTTATTGGTACTTATATTTTTGTAGTTTCCATCTTGTTTTTTGCTCTGTTTTTAAAGAAAAGCTCATGGCATGAAAAGGCAAAAATATCTGCTCAGAGGTCCCGAAGAGCCGAGTTCCACAAGCCCCTTCTGTGTCTCCTCTTCCTGTTCTTCTTTTTCTATGTGGGAGCCGAGGTGACGTACGGCTCTTACATTTTCTCATTTGCAACCGCTCATGCTGGCATGAAAGAAAGTGAGGCGGCAGGGTTGAACTCCGTCTTCTGGGGCACCTTTGCAGCCTGCAGGGGTCTGGCGATCTTCTTCGCCACGTGTCTGCAGCCTGGAACCATGGTTGTGTCGAGCAACATCGGCAGCCTCGGGTCATCTTTATTTCTGGTGCTTTTTGACAAGAGCCCATTGTGTCTCTGGATAGCAAGTTCGGTGTATGGGGCCTCAATGGCCACGACGTTTCCCAGTGGTATTTCCTGGATTGAGCAGTACACAACCATCCATGGGAAATCTGCTGCGTTTTTTGTAGTTGGGGCTGCTCTGGGAGAAATGGCTATTCCTGCAGTGATTGGAATTCTGCAGGGGAGCTACCCGGGTTTGCCGGTAATGTTGTATACCTCTTTGGGCTCATCGGTAGCCACTGCAGCTCTGTTTCCTGTGATGTATAAATTAGCCACCTCACCTCTTGATCGCCAGCAAAAGGACCACAGAAAGAGTGAGGACCAGACAGCTCTGCTCTCCAGCTCTGGGCTAAATGACTGTGAGGAACAGAGTGAAGACGGCGATGCAGAAAAGTGGAATGAAATGGACTTTGAAGTGATTGAAACGAGTGACATGACGAGGAATTCTGTAACAGGGACGTCTGGAAATACTCTCGTGGAGCCTACAGCTAAAGTCTGCGAACAACCCCCCTCCAGCGAGCTGGTGTCTGGGCCCCTCTGCAGCTAACATGGCCTCATCATCTGTGAATTACGGGGCAGGAAACCAGGGGAAGAGGGACTGGCACCTAGAGGAGGTGGATTGTCCTCTGACCTCCATCGTCACCACCAGTTCTAACGAGGCCACTCAGCAGAGCGTCAGCAGATTTTCAGCATGCTCTGGGGATCAGAACGTCTAGGTCAGGGTGTAGCAAACGCTAACAAGTTTTGGAACGCATTGTAGTTCCCAGTCTTCCATACGGAACCAGAGGCTGACTAATGTGAAGAAGGCATTTGGTTCAGAGAAGCGGGGCCCGTTCTACTAGAATAAACCTGCCTAGTATTAAGTCAGCTGAACAAGTTATCACTCATCAGTACTGTACCAGGGAAGTTGAGGGAAGTTGTTCCACAAAAGAACACTTTTGAAAATGGACGGTTTTTATTTGCTTTACCCTGTCTGTGCCTTTGCACCCGACTGCTACCGGCTCATTTGATACTGATTTCTAGGAAGAAAACACAGAACGGGCCCTAAAGGCCTGGCTTCAGGCCTGGACTGCGGCTTCCTAGCCGTCCGGCTGCATGATGGAGGCCCCCCCTTTATCTCATCTCCAGATCCATGATTCTATAAGTGAAAATGAAATGGTTTTCAAACTAGGAACCCACGTTTAAGTTCATGCCCGGTGTCTGCTAGAAATCATAAAGGCCACCCTGCTCTTCCTTTCAGATGAGAAGTGAGACAAAATAGTTTCAAGAATGTGCTACTGATAATGAAGACCTATCAGTTTAAGAGGCTCAGTGTTTAATACTTTATTTGAATAATTATTTGAAGAGTACATATTTATAGTACTGTATTTCATTGATTCTAAGATGCATATTTTTAATGTCTCAAATCAGAATGTCTTAAAATCAATGATCGTTTAACATTGTGACAATTGACAGTTTCCACATACATATATAAAGTCATGTGTTTTACAGTGTCTTAGATTCAGTAAAATACAGTAATGAATAATGGAGATTTAATTATTTTTATAGATACTTTGAAAAGTTATTTTTGTATGCTCGTTTTCTCTGTGTTCAAATGGGGTTTGGAGTGCTACGTTGCAATTTTAGACACTGCTTCAGCGTCACTGGGGCGGCGGGCTGTGGACTGGGTCTCAGCCTCGGTGGTGCCCCTGCCCGGTGCGGTGCCTGGTGAACCTGGCTGCTCACCTTGCAGGGCCACCGTGTTGCATCTGGTTGGCGTCCAAGGTGGGAGCTGAGACCCGGCCCCTCGCTGGCATCTGCTCCAGGGGATGGGATTCTCGCGCCCCCCGGGCGCCTCCTTCCTGAGGCTGAAACACCTGGGAAATCAAAACAATTGTTAGAAAGTGGCTCAGTGGCCTGCACAGGGCGCCTCCCAGGACGCGGCAGGGCTGGTGTGGGCTGCGGTCTGGGAGGTGACTGCGCCCTTCTCACCAGGCGCTGCGCCGATTGCGTCTGACTTGAGCCTGGTTGCGTGCGTCTGCTTCCTGCCGTCTGATTTCTGTGAGCTTGCCCGTGTTCTTTCTTCTCAGTCCCTGCCCTTTGCCTTGCAGCCCTGCCACAATACTGGCCCATATTGGTGACCTAACAGGTTTGCGGAGGGCGGTGGAAAAATCAGCAAGCAGTGAGAGCCCTGTGCACCTTGCTGTCGTTAACCTGCGCTCTTCTGGCTGGAGTCTGCAGGCAGCCTCCCTCCATTTACTGCTTTTCCCAGGTTGTTGGAGCCCAGGCAGCAGCAGCGAGAAGATGCTGGTAAGCTTCTGGGAACACGGCTTCTGCTTGGAGCTTCCACACGTACAGGGGGAGAGGATGGTGATAGGAGTGTGGAAGAAAATTTGAAAATCCTTGCAGGTTAACCCACCAGAGTTCCATGAACCAGTGACCAGGTGCATGAGATCCAGGTGTTGTTGAGTTTGATAATGTGATACCATGTTGGAAGGACAGGTGTGGGTAAAATTGTAATATTTCCAGAATATTTCACCTGGCTTTAGCGCATCTGCATATCAGCAGGTGTTCCTCAGGGCTGGGGACAATAATCCATCTCCATATTGATGGGTAATTACCTGGGTGACGAAGGGCCTATCCGAACCTGAGAGGTTAGAGGGAGGGCTGGTTTTGCTTCTGCCAGAACAGGAAAGAGAGATGGCCCCGGACTTTTATAACTGCCCCTGCAGTTTATAAGCAATAACTGGGTTTTAAACTTTATTTCTCCTTTTCACTGATTTCGGTTTTAGAGGTATTTTGCCCGGGATTTCCTTCCCCAGAGTTACAACAGGACACTCCCAGGGACCAGTACCGCCGGCTGGTGCAGGTTTTCTCTTGCTGAGTAAAATGGGCATAGTTCCGCAGCTTGGAACAACAGCTGTGCTCGCCACTGGGGTCTTGGGTCGGGGATGGGAGCTGGGAGTGCGCCAGGGCCGTGTGCCAGCCGCCCCCCTGCGTTCGTTCAGTCCTCGCTGTGCCAGGCCGGGGCCCCGCTTTGCTGGCTGTCAGCTGGCGCTGGGTGACACCTAGAACCTCTGCGGTCCCTGGCCATCGCAGCCCCGCGGGTCCTTGTGCAATGTGGCCACTTGTTTTCTCAAAGCTGGCGGCTGACTCCCCCCAAGCCTGCCGACCTGAGGCCCCCTATGATGCAGGGCGACCCTGGGAGTGATGTGCCATTGTGTGCCATCTTCTGTGGGCCAGACGCGGCCACAGGCTCTGCCTGCTCTTGGGAGGGGCCATGCAGGGCAGGACTCCCATGCGGGCGCCTCTGTGTGTCTGCTGCGCTCGGGCCACCGCAGCCAAGGCTCAGGTGCTGGAAAGGTTGGGCCGGGGCAGACCCCCTCGGCAGCCCTGTGGGTGATGCCACGTGGGCCATGGGGCACTCGTGTGGGGCAGCAGCGCCGTGCCAAGCCTGCAGGGTGTCTGCTGGGCACTGGATGGGTTAACTCAGAGCTGTGTTTCCTGTCTCTTGACATGTTATGTCCTTAACCACCATGCTTTTAATCTGTTCAAGTGCAACTTAATATGAGGGAAATAGGTAAATTTCAGTTTAATTGTATTTTCATAGTAAAGGCCAAGAACACTGAGAGAGAATCTTCAATGACTCTGTTATTTTTTTAAGGAAGCATCTTTTTTTTTAAAATTGTTTTTATTATAGAAGTAGTAAAGGTATAAAAAGTTCATGGTAGAAGGTTAGGGAAATATGTGGAAAATGAGGATGGGGCATAAGCATGATCCTAAACACTTAGAGAAACTCTTAGTTTTCATCAACTTAATTTCCTGAGGCAAGATTTAAAGGGTTAAAGAAAGTTTCCTCCTACCAGGTCAGAAAGAACTGGAATTTCATGTCCAGAGCACACAGACACCACCTTCAGTAGACTGGTTACTAGTCTGAAGAATTGTAGTTTAGTTTTAAAAACCCACGTAATTGGGAGGTGCCCTGTGGTGGAACACAGTCCTAAAAAACATGTGAGACCTAGATTACATGAAAATGATTTTGTTTTAGGTTTATTTGTTGAATAGCTCAGATAGCTTTCTCATAACTGGACCTTAGGGTTTACCATAACAAATTTCTCATTCCTGCCACTTACAAGGTATTAGTAAAAGTAGAGCTTAAAATTCTTAGTGGAAAAAGACACATTGTTCTGGAATGTCCTGTGTCCATAGTGGTATGTGTGAGTGTGTGCAGGGCTGTGAGTACGGGTGTGAGTGTGTGCGGGGTATGAGCGTGTATGGGTGTGTCTGGGGCTGCGTGTGGGGTGAGTGTGGATGGGTCTTTTTGCACATGGAACCACAGATACCGTGTGTTTGGTGTTTCCCTGTGGGTTGCATGAGGGCAGAGGCAGCAGGGATGGGATACATAACACAGTATGATTCAAAGCTTGTTAGAAGTGTTGCTCTTTATTAACTGGAATTTCTATTAAGATTATTGTAGATTCCCACGCAGCCGTATGTAGGGATTTTTCAGATTTGCTGAGTGAGGACGCCTGCTCGTCTGGAGGGCAGGAAAGCTGGCCAGTGCTTGTCCTCCTTGAATGTGCGTCAGACCGGATCCAGCGGGACTGGAGCGGGGCCTCCGGGGGGACGGGCTCCCGGCAGCGGGGGACTCCCACCCAGGCTGACCACGGTTTGGGCTGCAAGGCCCTCCTTTTGAAGAGTGTTGAATTCTTTGCTACTTTGGGAATTTTGTTGGTCTTGTTTTAGCATTGCCAAATCTGACCCGGAATCTCTGGGGGTCTTCAGTACCTGTGCACCCTCTCCTTTCTCACACACACACACACTCCAGGACGCAGAGTATTCTGAGTTCTCCTCAGTCCTCTCCGTCTGCCACACTGGCTGCTGACTATTTATTTCATATGTTCGTTGAATGTCTCCGAGTCGGCGGTTTCTGCAGGAGGTGCTGAGTGTCCGCTGGTAAGGAGATCGGATCCCGCGTCCGTGGAACTTACCTTTGAGTACGGGACTGACCTGTGATCTTCCGGGCTGATGGGATATCTACTCTGCACTGCCTGGTAGCCACTGGCCACATTTGGTGAACTGCGCCCTTAAAATATGGCTAATAGGACACAGAAAATGAGCTTTTAGTTTAACTTAAATACAAAAATATCTGTGTTGGCTTGTGGCTGCCAGACTGGGCAGAACGATCCAGCGGGAGAATCAGGCTGTCAGACAAGCCATCCCCCACGATGTTCCCAGGAAGGCTTTATTTCCTCTCCTCTGGAAACAAGTATCTAGGGTCCCATGTGACCGCTGCCTCGTCAGGTGGCGCAGTGACATAGCCAGGCACCCAGGAAAGGCCTGGTGCTCGTGGCTCGAGACCATCGACGGCGGCACTTGGGGCTGGAAGGGAGGTGCTTGTGCGCGAGGGGCCGCGCGGGGCTGGGCGCCCTGGCTGCCGGGCAGGATTCAAGCCGTTCCCGTGGCGCGCTTTGGCTGATTGGCATTCGAGCTGTCGAACTTGAGTTGGATTTTTATTCAGGCATAAATAGTTTCATATTCAATGATTAAAAATCTTAATGCTGAATTTTTAGGAGAGTCATTGTTAATTTCCCAACAGTCCTCCGAGGTCGTCTGAAGTGTGTCTTCTCTTACCCTCCATTTCTGCTGTTCATTTCTTCTCGCTCTTGCGGAGAAGGCCCTTCAGGTTCTTGGACGTTCGTGCCTGTGCGGTGCTCTCACGTCTGTCTCTGGCCGCTGCGTCTAGTTTCAGAGGCCGTCGCGTCTGGCCTCTGGGCTCGTTGCGGCCCACCCGTGACGCCCTCGGTCCTGTCAGTCAGCAGGGGGCCAGGAGGAGTGTCTGGAAGCTGCTCCCTGACATGAATGGCTTCAGGGTTGGGCTTTTTAGCTTCTGAACAACTTGTTGACATTACTTTTAATTGTGTTAAAATATACATAGCATTCACCATTTTACCCATTTTAAGTGTGTAGCTGATGGGCATTAGTACTCTCTCATTGTGCAGCCGTCACTGTCCCCACCCACAGCATATTTGTCATCTTGGGGAACTGAGCCCTGTACCTGTTGAACTCTGGCTCCCCTCCGCCCGCCCCCCCAGGCCCGACGGCCCCCGTCTGCCTCTGGCCCTCTGAACCTGAGGCCCCGAGGACCTCTGGCACGGAGCCGTCAGGGTCTGTCCCCCCCGTGAGGACGTCCTTCCCTGGGCAGGGGCATCTGCAGGGCACACTCGTGGGGCCCGCGGCAGGCCGAGCAGCGTCCTGCTGCGGGGGGTCCTCACCTGCCGTCTCGCATGGGCCTCCCCCGCTGTGGGGATGGTGGGGAGCGCTGCTGTGGGCTGACGTGTAGACGGACACCTGTCGGCGCCCTGCCGCCGACTCTGGGAATGTGCCCAGCGAGCCTGTGCATCCGGGATGATTCCATCTTTAGTTTTCTTGGCTGCTTTCTTTTCTGTCCTAATCCAGTTTTCCCAGAAGAGACAAGCTACTGGCAGAGGACAGGGAAGCACACGCGCTTCTTTATGTGTCACCCCAGCTCTAGGCAGGCGGTGGCCCATTACCATCAGCCGGGTGTTGTTGCCACATACCCAGGAAAGACCTCCTGGGTGAAGCCGGGCACCTACCTCAGAGTCTCGTTACCTCTGCTCCCCGTTTTTGTTCAGTCACTGAGTGAGTGTTGGGGGGCTTATGTTGTTTGAAGTCCTGCTGCAAATGAAACCAAACCTGGACCTTTTGGAGGCTGCCTTTCTGGGGAGGTTTCTGCTGATCAGTTTTGATTTGAGGGCTTGAAAATGATAGGGGTGGTCTTATAGGTTTATTAACATCTGGATTTAAGACTTCAGTTTACATGGCTTTGTACAATGTGAAAGCTTGTTTGAGTACAATACTGATATAAATAAATACTGATGTTGGCTTAAGATAAGATTTGTGTCTCACTTCATCCACACTTAAAAAAAGATTATTTGCACACTTTAGGCTGTGAGCACTCCAGAGGACATGCGGTGGTTGTGGTGGGTCCTAAAAGGTAAATAGTGTTTTCACTTCACTTACGTAGAGATGACATGTGACATCTTTGATGACATCTAACATTTTTGGCCCTGAGCTTCTCTTACGTTCATGGTCTAGTTTCTGAACCCACAAGTGCCCCAAGGAAGCTGCCACCCGCTCAGAACCAGTGCCTCACTTGGGCAGTTGCCCTGGATGAGGTGGGTCTCTGCTCCATCTCTGTGGAGAGGAGGCTCTGGGACTCGAGGGCCAGGCGGTCTTTGGGGGCTTCGTCCCTCTGAACGGGGCCCAGCGGCCGGCAGCCTGTGGGTAACTGATTACCCCGACCACAGGCGGGCCTGGGTAAGGGTGCCCAACCCGTGCGTGATCCAGGTGCGCGACAGCCGCCCCAGCCCTTTGCGCTTCACTGGTGTCCTGGGGGAAGATACTTTTGAAAGTGGGAAAGTTTAAGCCAAGAGAAACTAAGTGACCCGCTCCCTTGTCTGAGCAGTCACGACACTCCCGTGTCATCTGACTGCCGCAATCTCTGCTTCAACAACCTCGGTTTACAGCTGTGGCCTTTGCTCTGAGCAAGGTCCTCAGGCAAAGCTCCGCCGGTTCCGGCTCCTTGGAAGCCTGGGCACAGACCAGACACAGGCTCTGGCTCTCGGCGCCGCCCAGGGGGAGCGGGGCTCAGGTCACCCCCCCGGTTCTTCTCCCATGGATCTGGCTGGGCATGAGGGTGGACTGAGCAACCAGACCACCTGCTCCTGTGGGTTCCCTGGGCCGGCAGGACGGGGGGAGAGCCTGGGATTCACAGACCCTCCGTGTCCCCCGCTGTGAGGGATTGTGGTTTGGGGAGTGGGATTCTCCTGTTTGCCCACGGCAGCAGCTGTTCCACTGTCTTGGGAAACCAGGTCCAGCAGAACTCGGGAAGAAACTCCTGCGGTGTGACGGTCAAGAACGGGGATTGGGAGTCCTGTTAGCCTGGACTTGAACCCCGACTGCCACCTGCTGCCTTGGCCACGTGGTGTGGCCTCTGCGGGCCTCGATGTTCCTTCCTGGGGTAGGCAGTAAGATTTAAACGAGATACTTGCAGAACCTTAGCGTGTTGCTTCATACGTACTGTTACGGGCTGAACTGTACCCCCCCAGATTCCTATGTTGACGTCCTGTCCCCACTACCCCAGACTGTGACTGTTCAGAGCGATTAAGCTACAGTGACGTCACTGGGGGCCCCTAATCTAACATGACCTGTGTCCTTATAAAAAGGGGAAATGTGGACACTGGCAGGCGCAGAGGGATGGCCGGGTGAAGATGCAGGCAGAGGACTGCTGTCCGCAGGCCAAGGGGAGAGGCCGCGCAGGAACCAGCCCTCCGAGGCCCTGATGACAGACTGAGCCTCCAGACTGTGGTGAAGATTTCTGTGGTTCAAGTCACCCATCTTACTATTTCTATTACCATTATTCCCAAACCACTCAAAGGAAAACTTAAGCAGCCACAAATGGGGAACTTTACCAGAAAGTAATGCTCACTAGTAAAAGACCAGCTACAGAGGAAAATAATAGAGCTTTTTCATAATTATCTTGGCTACGAAGGCCAGGTGGGACACTCTAGGCAAGCTAACGACGTGATGGGCCACAAGGACTCCCAGGAGTCCGGCAAGTCAGCAAGGAGACGTGTGGCTCGGAACTCACACACCCGGCCTGGCAAGCTCCGCTCAGACGCCACGGAAGGGTGGACTTCCGTAGACTCGGCCACGTAGTGGAGATAACCAGCGCCCACCAGCAACACGTGAGTGAAACGCAGCAAGGGTGCAGTTGGCGTCAGTGGGTGTGTGTGCAGTGATAAGATCGGTACAAAGGTGGATGCCAAGTGAATCTTATCACCTTGGGCCCTTCGGCCCCACTGACACCCACTCTCATGCATCTTCTAGAGATGCAGCTCTAACAAGGGTTCATATGTACATATGCATACGTAGAGATGACTAGAAACACACTCTGCTTTATTTTCACTGAGACATAATCGGCATACAAGTACACCTCGCTGTGCTTCACAGACGCTGCATTTTTTGCAGATTAAAGGTTTGTGGCGACTCTGTGCCCAGTGAGTCTATTAGAGTAACTTTTCTGCCAGCATTTGCTCACCCCATGTCTCTGTGTCATATTTTGATAATTCTCAAAATATTTCAAACTTCTTCATTATCATTTTATTTGCATGGTGGTCTATGACCAGTGATCTTTGATGTCACTATTGTAATTATTTCAGGGTGTTACAAGCTGCTCCCATGTAAGACGGCCACCTAACTGACCAGTGTGTGCGCTCTGACTGCTCTGCCGTCCTGTCGTCCCCCGTCTGCCCCCTTCTCCTCAAGCCTCCCTATTCCCTGACACGCGACAATACTGAAATTAGGCCAGTCAATGACCCTACAATGGCCCTTAAGTGTTCGAGTGAGAGGAAGAATCGCACATTTCTCACCTGAAATAAAAAACCAGACATGATCCAGCTTAGTGAGGACGGCATGTCGAAAGCCGAGATATGCCACAAGCCAGGCCTCCTGCAGCAAACTGGGAGCCAGCCTGTGAAGGCAAAGGAAAAGTTAAGGCAATTTAAAGTCCTGCTCCTGTGAGCACACAGGTGACACAAGGAGAAGCAGCCTCACTGCTGACGTGGGGGAAGCTTCAATGGCCTGGAGAGAAGCTCAGACCAGCCCCAGGATTCCCTCAAGCCAAAGCCTCGTCCAGAGCAAGGCCCCAACTCTCTTCAATTCTGTGAGGGCTGAGAGAGCGGAGGAGGCTGCAGGGGCAAAGCAGGAGGCTGGCAGAGGTCGGTTCACAGTTAAAGGCAAGAAGGCGTCCCCACGACAGAGAAGTGCAGGTGAAGCCGCAGGTGCTGATGGAGAGGCTGCAGAGACTTATCCAGAAGGTCTAGCTGAGAAATTCATGAGGCGGTTGCACTCAACAACAGATCGTCAAGGTAGGTAACAGCCTTATGCTGGAAGAAGATGCCATCTAAGCTGTTTCACAGGTAAGGAGAAAAAGTCAATGTCTGGCTTCAAAGCTTCAAGGGAAGGCTGACTCTCTTGTTAGGGGCCAAGGCAGCTGGTGAGTTCAAGTAGAAGCCAGTGCTCACTGACCTTTCCAAAGATCCACGACCACACAAGTGTAGACACGTCCCTCAGTGCGAGTGCCACTTCTCCCCATCATTTCTAGGGGTGGCCCTCCCAAAGGTTGCATCCATTATAACAGATTTCAGGTTCAGAGCAATCCTGCCAACTGTGTCAGATGTAAGTCCAGGGAGAGGAAATCCTGGGGCAAAATACCTCTTAAAAACCAAAATCAGTCAAAGGGAGAAATGAAGTTTAAAACCCGTTTATTGCTCACAAACTGCAGTCCAGGGTCGGCTCTCTTTCCTGCTCCAGCAGAAGCAAATCCGGCCCTCCCCTCCCCTCCCCTCTCAGGTACAGATAAGCCCTCCTGCGCCCAGGTAATCACCCATTAATATGGAGATGAACTTCTCTCCACCAGAGGAACGATGCAAATGCACTAAAGCCATACTTCTTTCTACCTCTGAACGCCTATTGATATGCAGATCTACTAAAGCCAGGTGAGATATTCTGAAATGTTAGAGTTTCACCCAAAAATAGGTTCAATTATTATCAGTACACATAAAAGAGCATTTGAAAAAAAGCAAACCCTGAGCCTTTGAATAGATACAATCCCTAAGATGTTAATCTCCATCCCACTTATAACCAAATATTCTGAACTAACAAGGTGCTGAGGTGTCTCCCTTTATATATTAATTCCAGCTATCAGCGGGGCCTGAAGTCAGAAACTGTGCGGTTTCTGACAGGAGGATGGACCATAAAAATACCTAGACCAGCAACCGGCTCCTTTCGACTGGCTCCGTCTGCGCACACCTGTAAGTCCGGCCTCTCAGCACCTCTGGGACCCGCAGCGCCCGGGGCTGTAGGTGATACTAGTTTTGCTCTGTACACGAGGCGATGGGCGTACATGCTTCTCCCCCTACAGACAAAAGGAGATGGAGCTGGAGTTCAGGCTGGACGTTGTCTGGCTCCGAAGCCCCACTTCTTTACAGAAGGCCTCGCCTCGGAGTGGCCGCTTGGCTAAGGTCATCTGAGCCCTCTCTGACTTTGGGCCCACGCGTTCTGGCTTCCCTCCCACCTGTCCACGGAACTGCTGTAGCTCGAGAGGCCATGCAGGTCACCAGAACTGTTTAGAAAGTTTTTTTTCCTTGTGGTTTGGGTGAAAGACTAAACTATTAACAGCTGATTATTAAAAGGGAGGGAAAGTAATTATGAAAGTGTACTAGAAGCTTATGAAATATGTTTTTGGTAAAATGTCCTCACAGGTGAGTTACCAGAAAAGCAGATGGATCTCATTAAATGGCAGTTTGGCTGCAGACTCCAAGGACAGTTACCAGGAGGCACATCCCCGTGGGAAAGCAAACCAGAGGTGCACCCCAAACACCTGACAGCTAGTCTGGGGCACTGACACCCACCCCCGTTCGTTTGGCTGCGCCCAATTTCCATGAGGTTAGGAAGGTGGTTCTGTTGGTCACGTTGCGTCCCCTTAGTGATGACCAAGCTGGTGTTGCTGGTGTCCTGAAGGCACCTGGAGGTGGGCAAGGGGCAGAGAACACGTCACCAGCGGCTGCCCCCACTAACAGGGTCCCCCGAGGTGGAGATGTGTGTCTCCACGTGGGGACATGACTTCTATCCGATTCCACAGTTGCTGCATAATTTTCGGGAAAAAAATTCTCCCAGTATTTGGAAGTACCGAGTTTGGCAAAGGAAGGCCTATTTCTGGTGCATAACCAGATGAGCTATCTTAGAATGTTTTTTCTTAAAAAAGTTGGCATTTATGTTTTAAAGACATAATAATGAAGTACGTTTTGTTTTCCCTCTGGAAGGGATTGATTATGTCTAAATGAGAATGGCCATGGAAGATCTACCAGTAAGCAGATTCTCAGAACTCTAAAAGGATGAGAGGTAAATTTTTTACCTTTTGCTGCCATTTTTAAAATTTCTTTAATTTTTAAAATTTTGGTATCATTAATACACTTACATGAGCAACACTGTGGTTACTAGATTCCCCCCATTATCAAGTCCCCACCACACACCCCGTTACAGTCACTGTCACTATACTGCCTTCCCTGTGCCCCCCCCACATTATGTGGGCTAATCAACCATTTTTTAAAATCCTGATTTTGATAAGGGAATTGCAACATCATTTAGGATATAACAATGAGTTACATTCACTTTATTTAAATTCAGAAAGTGTAGGGTAAGATGTAACCAGTGTAGGCTTATAAAACACATGAAGATAATGTTTTTAGCAAGATAAAAATCGCACCCCCATATTTCATATTTTATTCAATTTTAATATGGTTTCCATTATTAACTTTTAAAACAAAATGATTTCCAGTTTAGAAAACAATGCACTGACCACATAATTCCTTTTCATTCTATACAGTTAGTTGTACAAATATTCTAAATACACATTTTGTTTTCAACATGATGGTAAATAAGATTAACTGTACAGTACTTAAGGAAAGAAAATATTTTAAAAGTATATTTAGAAGCAATAGAAATGTCTATACAAAACAAGCAAAAATGGAATAAAACTTTTTATTTTTAAAGTATTGCAACAGGCCCACAGGTTTGTGACAAAAGTGTCTTTGCACGGTTCCTCACAATGCCCCGTAACAGCTAAAGCAAGACAGTGGTTTGGAAAGTAATGTCCAAATGCTACGATGGTACTATTTGCACAGTTTGACCAAAATAACAACTCTACTCTGAGTCAAGCAAAACCTAGAGGAAATATACCAAACAACATGAAAATCATTTGTATAAAATTCATTGCACGTTATTTTACTCAGTTGTTTGAAAAGTAAAAAAGTGTATTTACAAAATATTTTGCAGTCAAAATTATAAAGTGAATGGATATCTCTAAGTAACACGTCTTGGTACAGACAGTCCAAGGGAACACATGGGTTGGTTTTGTAAAAAGAGGTTCTTGGTGCTCCGCCCACAGGATCTACTCACATGGGTTCACACGATGTCACACATACCGGAGCAAATTCAACACCCACGTCATAAAACAATGTGAAGAAGGTGCGAGGAGGACTCTACAAGGCAGGGCGGGAGCCACTCAGGCAAGTCGGATTCTCAGTTCGGTCGGCGTGCAGTCTTCACAGGCTTCAGTCCTCACAGGCTAGACGGACGGACACACTGACCGCAGGGGGGCGAGAAGCACCGTGCGCAGCGGCTCTGTAGTGGACGCTGAGGAGCAAACAGCACCTGGACTCTGACACCGGCCCCTCAGAACTGGTCCAGCAATCGCCGGAGATACGGGGCCTTGCATAACTCTCTGTTGACTCGGGCGAGTTTGAAAAGTACAGGGCAGTTCAGAGAGACGCACGGGATGTGCTGGTCAAAGCAGCCTGCACAGTTCTTGCAGACCTGCAAAGCGTAAGAGGGGCGCATGAGACGCCTGTGGGTGAACAAGCCTCACAGCCTCCCCTCCGGCCCATCACAGAGTGCTGGCGAATGACGCACAGCATATTACAGGAAGTTCCATCAATTTCCGTCTCTTTGAAGCCCAGCCTACCCTATGTTGAGACATTTCTAAAGAACATGATGTCCCAGAAGAGAGCAGCACAGCCGTCGTAAGGATCCATTCCACTCCAGGGGGCCTCTTCATTCACAGAAGACCCATTACATTAAGACCCACATAATGAGCTGCTCCGTTACCATTCAAACACTTGCTTAAATGAGCTATAAACAGTATTTTTTCAATTTATTCTTTAAATGTCAATCATAAAAAAGTTAGCCACTTATTTCAGAACAGAAAATAGTAGTATGAGAAAAGTCAAAGATGTGAATTTGAAAGCAGAGTCTAGACGAGGCCCCTGACCCCAGCGGGCCCACCCGGGCCTGAGGACACGCTGATGCCCTGTGGGCCGGCACGGCCACTGCGGACGGAGGGTGCAGGCTCCTCGAGACACTGGGAGCAGAGCTGCCTACGGCCCAGTGGTGTCACCTCTAGCAGTTTACCCACAGAAAACAAAATCCCTGATTCGAATAGCCATGTGCACCACTATATTTATCACCACATTGTCTGCAATAGCCAAGATATGGAAGCAACCTGTGTCCATCAATAGATGAACGGATGAAGGAGAGGTGGTACGTATGCACAACGGAATATCATTCAGCCATAAAAATGAAAAGAAATCCTGCCTTTGCAACAATATGGATGAAGCTAGAGGGTATTGTGCTCAGTGAAATAAGCCAGGTGGAGAAAGACAAGTACCTAAAGATTCACTTATATGTGAAATCTAAAAACTAAAACTAAAATTAACAGCAGGGGACTCAGACACTGAGAAGGGACTGGCGGTCACCACAAGGAGGCACTGGGGCAGGAGGGGGGAGAAAGGGGCACTAACATTCCTGATCAGCCGACACAGCCAACATCAGAGAACACAGCCAACAATCCTGTGACACCTTCCTGTGTGGACAGTGACCACACCAGGGAGGCGGTGAGAATGTAACGATGTGGGTAACGGTGAACGACTGTGCTGTACTTGAAACTGATATAAGGTTGTATATCGATATAACTCTATGTCACATACACTAACGCCATTTCCCAACCAACAAATCAGAATCTCTGGGAATGAGGGCCTTTTTAGGGCTTCCAGGTGTATAAGATCTGAGTTAAAGGAAAATAAGTTGTAAGAGCAACTTTTAAAGAGAAGCATTATAATGTCTTGTACAATGATCAGATTTTAAATACATAAAGTCTCAAGACATACATACAATTAAAAAAAGATTATAAAACATGACAAACAAAAAAAAATTAAAAAGGATGCTAGTGTGGACCCCAGGGGTCAAGAAAATGCAGGCTGGTTTTTTACAAGGCCGGTGTAACCAAGAGACTAAACAAGGCATCCAACACCGACCACTCTCCACTTTTAAGAGAGGTCAGATCTGCTCCAACTGCTTGAGGTCAGATCTGCTCCAACTGCTTAATTCTCTATGTCCATGAGCTTCTGTTCAGAGACGTCTCATGGGGAAACCAGTTTTTGTCTTTTGCCCCAGTATCTTCCAGGCACCCGAGGGGCACGTTCACCACAGCACGCTGCTCACCACGCCCAGTGCTCTCCAGGCCTGGCGTGCCATCCGCCACGTACATCTCTGCCCTGAGACGCTAATCTGTTTCCCAAGACAGGACGTGCGTGTCGCTCCCTGTGCTGCAGCCACATTCAGGAGCCGGGACAAACTGCGCCCCCCGGGGTTGGCAGATGAGCCAGGATGGGGTCACGCGCCTCACTGAGCTCAGCTCAGTTTACTTCAGGATCCTTCACCAGTGACTTAGACCCTGGGCACTGCAGGTCAATTCTGCTTACATTTAAAACTAAATACCACAACCTGGACACTTAGCCTGTAAGAAGACAGATGTTTACAAAACCTGCTTTAAGCTCTACCGACTGTTTGTTTTTGCAACTCTCTGGCTTCCCCATCCTTTCAAAAAATTTCAGTCAGATGCTTTATTTTCATTCATTCAGTTATTATTAAAAGTGCTTAAGATGTATTTGTCTCTGAAATCTGCTATGGCTGTTTGGAATTTTACATTAGTTTCCTTTAGTAGGGAATGTTAAAGTTTTAAGTAGGAGGATCACTTTGTTTTCTGATTTTATAATTAATATAACTCAAGAGTTATAGTTCTGAGTTTACTAGCCTTATAGCATTAGCCTTATAGCATTTTATTGATAAAGTGTTCTTTGTAATATGTCTACTTCTTGAAATTTTATTAAGGCTTCCTTTACGACTAGGTTATGGTCCGTTTTTCAACATTCCATAAACACTGAAAAGGAAGATATCTTCTCTAGCACTGGGCTGTAAAGTCCACCTTAAAATGCTGGGTGGACCTTCCATGATTGTACCTCTGGTCCCCTGGTCTTGGGCTGTGACAGATTTTTCAAATACTCCTATCACTATGTTTCTGTCATTTTTTATTACATCTCCTGTTTTTTCTACTTTATAAAGATCCTTACAGATTATATTTACTGTACAGGAAACACATTTTAGTGCTCTTAAAAAATCTCTGAAGTTAGTAATTCTTGACGAACCATCCTTATTTAAAAACAGCACCGCTTTTTAAAAACTGCACTTTTATAAGAAAGAAGACATATGGAAGGAGGGCTCTGGTCACACTGAGAGCACCAGTGGCGTGGTGCACGTCACTGAGGGCAGGAGAGAGGGGCTCCGCGGAGGGGCCCTCTGAGGGGCGGCTACCGCCGTTGGGTCAGCAGCCTGTAAACAAGCTGGGAAGCCTGCGCTGACTAGGACCACAAACAAGTGCAAAGGGGCTGAAGGCTGGTGGCAGTCACCCCGGTGACACACTGCCGTTCTAGCCGCGTTCAGAGGGAGCTGCTCCTCCACTTGACGCACATTCACAGGCCAGCACAAGGCGCACTGCGGCCGACTCAGAGCGAGAGGCCAGGCTCTCCTGCCGTGCAGAGGGAACAAGGCTGCGTCTGACTCGGGGTTCAGGCTGACTCCTCCGGGAAGGTGATTTGTGGGGTAGAGAAGAGCAGCCCAAGAAGGGACAGGTGTTCAGAAGCCAGGAGAAATTGAGGTGCACTCCTGGACCTAAATGAAGCTCACTACGGTATACGTGGAGGGTACGTGTGACAGGGAGAAGGGCAAGAAACGGTGACAGAGAGGCAGCAGGTAGGGGCCGGGAGGGAGAGAGGCAGAGGGCAGGACAGGGAGAGAGAGAGAATGCAAAAGACCGTTCCCCTCACAGCACAGAGTGGACGGGACGGCAGGTCAGGGTTCAAGGCTGCTGCAGGAGTTTAGCAGAGAAATAACGGTGTTTGGGACTCGGATGTTAACAGAAGGGAAGGAAAAAAAGAGGGTATTTAAGAACTATTTAGGAGATGGAAGGGGAAAAGCCAACTTATTCCAACAAGCTTAGCTTCTGCAGTTGCATCAAAATAATCGTCTTTTAGATTCTACCGCCCTTAATGAGCTCTGCTTAATGTATTCTGGGTGACTGGCTATATTCTCTAAAACTTAAGAGTTTTTGCCAGTACACACTGTGGCAGCCAGAACGGTGCAGAAGAAACTGCCCATACCTCACCAGCCCTTAATCACCTTCCTACATCATCCAGAACTTCCAGAGCCCCCGAGAGATGGTCCCACTCCCTGGTCACTCGGGTGGCAGCTGCTGCGAGTCTCTCCTCTGTCTGAGCTCAAAAGCTGCTTGACCTTGAGGCCAAGGGACATGGCAACATGAGGACGTCCAGACTAGAATCCTGACGTCTTACTGTTAGCACAGTTCATTCTCCACTGAATCATACTCGCAATTATTGGTTGGTTCTAAAACATTTCAGTAACTTTATATATTACTTTCCTAAAACAAGACAAAATGAAACAAATTTCACCCCAAAATTATTCTTCTCTAGCCTGAAAGCCAAAAATGTAGCTTGAAATATGATGGTACAACATATAATCATTCCTTTAACAACTATGCTTTGTTTTTAAAAAAATGTGCCACGTTAATTGAGATCTCATCCCCTGCTTATTTCAGGAGGTCTGGTGTTTCTCCTCGGGTTCTCGCATTTGGAACTTCACCTGTGCGTCTTATGCCCCTATCCCAGCTCCGCAGCTCGTTGGCAGTGTGGCGTGGGGCTGGCCACTCACCCCGTCAGCTCAGTTCACTCACCCGTAAGGTGCCTACGACAGTCTCCAGACGTAGCAGGACTCAGTCAAGTTAACTACAGATTTTCTACCTGGACTCTTAGAGTTGGGACATTCCCAGGGTGCCAGCACTTCTCTAGGACCACTGGGTTTTGTGAGAATGTTAAGTAAATATGGTAGACAGAGCAACTGGTATTTTTCTTTCTTTTTAAAAAACACTATTACAAAAGAAATTGGGTGCATGGACATTGCAGTTCTAGGTTTTGATGAACATAGTGTTCCATAAAAATAAAAAATTAATTATGAAACAAATTGAGCCATTTTAATAGTTTTAGTTCAGCTGTGGTATTTCTGAGATTTTAAGAAGTTTGGTAGCTTAGAATCCTTCCTCTGCTTTTCACACCAGTGTCCCCCCTCACACTGTCTGCGAGCCGCCTACATTTCCCTGAAGAACGGAATGGGGTTGCCCGGGACTGCGGGTCTGCTGGCCGAGGCGGTACCTTTGCGAGCTGCTCCTGTTTATGCTCCAGCTCTCGGACCTCCTGGCTGAGGACGACGGCCACCTGCTGCGGCTGGCTCCGACACGTGCTGCAGATGCCATGCTGAGTCACGTCGTCACACACAGGGCAGCGTAAGGCAGTGAAGTACTGGGAAATAGTGCCTTTCCGCCCTTCAGGGTCACTTCGCGAGGAGCTGGTGGCCTTCTGGATCTATAAAAACATCAATTCACAAATAAGTCTGAGCCTACTTCCCAGAAGAGCCATTTGCATGCTAACTGCAGGCTTACCAAGGCTTTATTTCATTCATTCAACAAATACTGAGCAGCTACCACACGTGTCAGACACTGTTCTTGACAATGGGGCTGAATAAAAGGGACAGAATCCTTCCCTTCACAGAGCTTACACCTTACTATTTCCAAGACATACTTGCCTTTTTCTTTTGGGAAGAAAAAAATACTGTCCTGCCACTCAGTATTTTGGTGGAGATTACATAGATATATGAGATCCTACAGGGCAGTGGAGACCAGAGGACAGTGGGAGAGATCTGGGTCCAGAGTGGCGGCCCTTTAAGGCTGCACAGTTCAGGCCATGGAAATAAGTCAAGAGGAAGTTAAAAATAACTTGTAGGAAGTAGGATGCAAAATCCAAGCAAAGCAGACCTGAGTTTTCAGACGTCATTAGATACATTTATCCGAAGCATTCATTTGAAGTGAATGGATTCAGAGATCTGCCTTCTGGTACTCTTCTACATAGAAATAACTTTGTATCATTTCTATACACTTGGCATATCCTCCTGCTGTCGCATGGAAGTTACTGGGCCAGCCTTCTGGTGCAGAGTCGGGAGGCAGCCCTATGCACGCCAGGTGGCACAGACCCTCTGGAGCAGAGCTTCCACCCCGGTCCCCTCGCTTATTCTTTTCCGTGAGGCCCTTAGTGCTTACTAAGAGAGTAAAAATAACTTAAGCATCAACTTTCACCAACCTGCCTGAATGCCACCAGCCTCTCGTAGTCTGAGACAACACAAGTCCAGTTCCCACCGTAGACAGAACTGCCACCCCTGCAGTCTTACCTCCCACATGATCATGAGGCTTCCATCACTCCTTTGGGCTGCTAGTGAGCAAATGCGAAAGGAGTTCAAGCAAAAGTCCCTCGGCTGAGACCCCACACTGCGTATCCCACTTCAGTTTAAGGCCATCCTGACATTACTTCTGCGGCCGTGCTCATCAGTATTGTGCCCAGGTACTACATCCTACACATTTCTTAAAAATCCATTTTGAAGGAATTTCTGCTCCATTTATTTTTTATTAGCTGCTTTATTTTGTAGTTAAGTATTTACCATTGAAATAGTTGTAGGATTTATGATGATATTCTATAATATAGCCAATCTGACAGAAGCTGGGAAGGCATCTGTAGAAAGCTTACGTTTCTCTTAGGAAACCAGAAGAGTGTGGCTCCTTTGCCAGTTAGGATAATAGAACAGTTACTTTGCCTATCATAGCATGTCTATAAAATCTTTAGTTCTAAGAAAATTTCAAGGGGGTGCTCCCTGGCCACAGCACAGGTGTGGCAGGCTTACCCTTGGTAATTCATGATACCAGCTGAAGACGTCTATCCCAACGAGTGAGAAGATTCTTGCCAGGGGTGGCAGGATTTGCTTGGTGATGTAGTACGTGGTGTTCAGTCTCAGAGCTGAGTCCTGCAGGACCTCTCCCGGGGGCCGCACCAGCTGGATGAGGGGTACTCCGGGGGCCCCGTAAATGATGACATAGGGCACTCGCTCCCCAGCCCGAGGCTCAGAGCGCCGGTCGTAAGTAAGCATTTTCCTATTTAAATCCAAATAAAATACACTCAAACCCTGCCATGGAAGGCATCTTTCCAGAAAATTAGATGAAATTAAAAAAAAAAAATAATGACACTATGAGAAATTTACAAGGGATACCTTCAAGTTATAGAGTCATAACTTTTTTGAGAACTACATACACTTCACTTCACTTACTGGCCCCAGCCAAGGGGATGTGCTGTGGGTTCATTAAGACTTGCTCTGTGAATCACTGCTGCCTGGAAAGCAGTGCGGGTCAGCAGGTACCAACTGGCTTAAAACGCTTTCCTTTCCTTAAGAGTAAGAACTACCATGAATCAAACAATGAGAGAGAAGATACAAGTTAGCTGGTTAGATGGTCTGACTCAGAATGTGACCATCTAGGGCTCTGGCAGAGGCGCGTTAAGGACCACCTAGTGATTCTGATGTGGGCAGAACAAAGGACTGCGGCTCTGTGCCGGACGGCAAATGCACTGGGTGCAGGCTCCAAAGGGGAGGCCCCGGAGGGGAGACTGCGTGTCTGTGCCTGGCGGCCAGGTGTCCCCTCATCCGCCGCGAGCCGCGCAGAACCCCAGGATCACTCCGCGGGGCCACGACGGGCGTGCACGTGCACCCTCACCTTGTGAGTTCCAGGGCTGGCACACAAGCCCCAGGTCTGTAGGAGGAACTCCCTCTGTACTCCTTGGCAAAGATGAAATCTTGGATGCTGGCCTTCCCTTCCAGAAGTTTCATGCATTGTCGCTGGACATACTGTTTGATTAAACTTATATCTCGTGTTTCAAATAGCAGCTTCAGAGAACGCTCAAGTATCTTAAACAGAAAAAAACGTTCATAAAATATCCCCTAGTATATTTTGTCATTGTTGCTTCGCTTTCAATTATGCGACTAGTGGGTAACTAAGCAATCTGCTGTTCACAGTGATTGGAATTGGAAAATATTTGGAGACTTTATACAGCTTGCTATTTCTCAAAACAGAGTTATCATATGGTTTGAGGAAAATCGTATCACAATGATGTGCACAAGAAATATTTGCTATATAATGAGCAGCATGAAGTGTTTAAATTTTCTTAAATAGCCAAGAGCACTTGGAGGCACAGGAAGCCAGACACGACTTCCTGCACTGTTTTTATTTGCCCTGTTACAGAGGGTCTGATTCAAATGAACAGAGAAAACCTTAAGTGTCACCAAGCAGTGAATTCAAAATTAGTCTTCTGCCTTTTTATATAATGTCAATAAATATATAGTAACTGTGACAGGATTTTCTGTGCTGGAAATATTTCTATTAGGAAACAATGGGCATGCAGTAGATTTATGTCGTGGGTTGGATTTAAATCAGTCCAGATCAAAGTTCTCTACTTGTTCTGAGTACCAGAGCCTTACATGCTCACACAAGAAGCTCTCTCCCTCGGCATCGGCACCCCCGCCCTCACTGGGGCAGTAAACGATGCTCAGACCCACACAGCGCCAGATGACACCCTGACTGATCATGAGGTCTCCTAATGCCCCGTAAAGCTCGGCATGGGCGGTACTGTTCCATTTACACTGCTTTCATTTTTAGTTGACTACAGAAGCAGTCTGGGCC